CAGTGAAAAACGAGAAGGAACAGAAAACCCGACGGAACTCCGGCGAAGCCGAACCATACGAATCGACGTCAAAACCTCCATTTTACACCATAAAAGTAATCCCACAACCCTTTACACACATCAGGAGTAGGTTTTAGACGAATCCCTTACGCTGAACACCATCGATAAGGAAGATGGAACGTCGGACTTCCGAACTTCTCCAGATCCGGGAGTGTGAGATCCTTACAAACAAAATTTGTACCAAAAAATGGGGTTAGGGTGAAGAAGAATCTCGGGAACCGAGGAAAAAGAGGGAAAAAATACATCAAGATGACGTTGTCGAGGAGAGAGAAAGATTGTCGAAAAATCGTGCAGGCAGTCGGGCAAAGAGGACGAATCCGACCCGAGGGCCGGATCCACAACCCGAACCGAACCCAATTCCCTTCGGTCTGCCCAGAACCTGACAATTCCCACGGGCCAAACACTCCAGCCCAAACCACATAAGCCAGCCCGCCTGCATTGCTTTCCCATCACCGCGCACGGCCCGTCACCTGCGAACCAGCCCATCACCGTGCTAGGCCCGTCACCCGCGTACGACCCGAGACCCGCGAGCTTTCCGATAACCCGCGCCTCGACCTGAGACCCCTGCACACGCATCACTCTCTAATTGTGCCACGTGCATGTCTGCAGCGCGACTCCTCTCGGCTCCGGCGGCTTAATCGGCTCGGCGGCGGCTTCTCGACTCCAGCGGCTTATTCGGCTTGGAAAGCCTATTTCCAGCCTGATTGACACCGTTTCGTCCCTCCCGGACCTGATTTCGATCTTGTTTAAGGTAAAATCGAACATTTTAAGATCGTAATTCACAAATTCCAGTTGGGAATTTATTGTATTTGTGAAATACTAACGAAAGTGACGAATGAACCATGAGGAACCAACCACCAACGGAAGCGTAGAACGTTCACGAGGAGCTAGGAGCTTACGTTATATTCTAGGGAGTACTTCGGTTAAGGCCTACCAAGTAAGTGGCTCACCCATCGTAGGTTACGCGTTATTTGCTGTATGTTGGCACGTGCCCGTGGATTTGCATGTGGCATTAAATTGTATGCTAGTTTAATGTGCTTAAGTACGAAATCTTGTAAACGTGAATGTATGCTATGTATGCTGCTTAGTTTGATGTGATATGTTATGCATGTGACGATATGTGGCTCTTGAATGATTATGACATGATTGTATGGATTATGTGATTGTAAACAACATGAATTGTATGACATGAAACACGGTAAACTGTCTGGAATCATAACCCCGATAGGAATATGTATGAAATGTGAATTGAAAAATGAGAATGACATGAAGCATGGAAGGTGACAAGGGGTTATGATCATTAACGATAAATGTAGAAGTAGGGGGGACCTCATGCATTATGTGTGTTCATGCATCAGGGGGGATACCCCCATCCCATCACGAGGGTACGGACGCGTACATCCAATGGCAGGATAGCGATTGTTATGCTTTGCATAGCGCTGTCGTGACGGTTCTAGTTTTAACGGGTCCCGACATAAGGGGCTCCCAGAGTATGCCCACCGGATAAGGACAGTGGCCCAGCGGTGTGCGAACTAGCTGGTGAGCCCATACTCGCACGTATGGACTGTGTGTAGAGTATATGGTACACGTCCATGATTACCCGTTAGGATTGCACCGTAGGGAAAACGAAATGAAACGAAACGAAACGATAGGTCCCATCATTTCATTGCATGTGATTGTTACATAACCCCGATAGGGGGTCACTTACTGAGTATTCTAGAAATACTCAAGCCTCGTGCTACTTTACTTTTGCAGATAAGGGCAAGGCACCCATGTGACAACGACGGCGACATCGTACACCTAGGGACCGTGGCACATGCATAGGATAGTTGTTTGTTCTTTTTTCCATTTCGTAGTCTAAGCTGAATTCGGTTTGCATCATTAGTATAGGTTAGTATAGGTTGAAATATGTTTGCATAATAAACCATAGGTAGAATAAAACATTCATTTGGTTTTGTAACTTTCCCTTTATTTTCAACAATGTTTCTTTTTCCCTTGTAATAATTTTCTCTTTCCTGAGGTAATAAAAGGCTAGAGTAAGTCGCATTTATGAATAGGGTCCATTTAATGTATATTCCGTATTTCAAAGTATAGTAATGACCTTATATTAAATAGGTAAAATATTAGGGGTGTTACATCATAGTCATATCGTTCTCTAACTTATCATAGTCTTAACATTCTTATACCTATCACAGACATATCAATACGTGAACGTACCTTAGTCATCTCATCACAAGAACTTAACGTAACGCTATCGTTCTATCAATCTTAACACTATCGTTCTATCAATCTATCACCAACTTATCTCTTTCTACCCGTAGTCTAACCGTATTCTTCCATCAATCTCTCTTATCCATATCACTCTGGTATGTAACCTGACCTTAACGTTTCATGAACGTATTTTACTCCTATCATTACATTTCGTTTTGTGCATCCTTCTTGTATCCTATCTCAAACATATCCTTGAACACATCATACCATAATTATTATCATACAATTCACATATTATAACATATACATAATAGATAGGAAGCATATCGATCCACAGACAATTCACACGTATCAATATATATGACACGTGCAGAACCACAGGGCACATGTCAACATTAAATATAACCATGCCGATAGTAAGGTCACTTACTTGGTTAGCTTAAGTCGTTGTCACAAATATATCTTTAATGAAAGTTCGATTTCGTCCTTTGAAATCCGAGTCAACCTATATGAGCCCATGACATTAGTTTCAAGTTTGAACTCTACAACATTATTTCTTTAATTTACATTGGTCCATTGTTAAAAGTCTTGAAATGTTATATATCTATAATTATATTTTTATTAAAAATCTTATTTTTCATGGTTACTGTTGGGTTGTATAAGAAAGTAGATACAACTATTTCAAGTTATCCTCGAACTCTCTGTATTTACCTGTCCCTCTATATTTAGTATGTGGTTTTTAATTCCCTAATTTCTAACTCTCTGTATTTATCCTCTGTGTTTACCTGTCCCTCTCTATTTAGCATGTGGTTTTTAATTCCCTCATTTTTTTTATTTGTTGTCTTCTAAGTCTGTTGTGATGTATTCCAAATTTCTAGTGGATCTTTGTTTCCAAATCTTTCTTATCTCAGTGTTTCTTTCCAAATCTTTCCTCAGTGTTTGCGGTTTAGAAGTTTTTTTTGGCCATTCTATCTCTAATCTATTCATTTGGGTATTCATAAAAATGTTCGATTTCGTAAATTTAATGAATATCTACCTATAATGGGCTATGATTTCTAAAAAAAATAAATAAGATAAAAGAATTGGCTGTGATTTCTAAAAAAAAATAGAATAAAATGAAGATTTAATATACACTTATTGATCAGATCTATCTACACCTAACTTGAATCTGGGTAAAGGTCATTCTTTTTTTTTCTCAAGTAAATCTGACAATGTTGTTTGATAAGAGAAAATGAAGATTTAATATATACCTTATTGATCAGATCTATGTTCACGTAACTGTGAATCTCAACTAGTAAACGTCATTCTCTTTTTCTCAAGTAAATCTGACAAAGTTGTTAACTCTTCTGTGAATCTCGACCTGTAAAACCATTCTCTTTTTTTTCTCAAGTAAATCTAACAATGTTGTTTTTTTTGTTTCTTTTTGCAGTAAGTAACTGTTACCTACAGTTGAGGAGAGATAATTGTGGGGAGGAAGAAATTCTGATATGTATGGGTAAATATGCAATTGTTTTTACCCGAAAGAATTCCTGATTTGTTACAAGATTTATTTTTTAGGGAAGGAGGGGTGAGAGTTGGAAGGAAGGAGAAAAGATCGGTTACCAAATTTTTTTGTATGAGTTATTTATTTATTTATTTTATTATTATTATTATTATTATTATTATTATTATTTTATTTTCCCCGGTTGTTACACTTTTGCAGAGAACTACATCTCGAATTTCATCAAACTTCAGTTTGTTAGATCCTCGGGAACTACTGATTGCAGCAACAACGGTATCCCACGACTCGGGTAAAGATGACTTACCCTTCCACCAAACTCAGCTGACTTACGATCATATTGAATTCATTTATATGATTAGCAACAGATCTACCTTCAGACATCTGTAGATTGAACAATCTCCGCATCAAATACACCTTGTTCATAACCGACGGTTTTTCATACATATTTGATAGCGTCTTCAACAGATCTAACATTGTCTTCTCCTTGATGATGTTGAACGTCACATTTTTTGATAGTGTCAACCGGATCAGCCCTAAGGCTTGTCGATCCTTGAGCTTCCACTACTCTGTGGTCATCATATCCAGCTTCACCCCCAACAAGGGTTCGTGAAGACTATTCTGATACAGATAATCTTCAATCTGCATCTTCCAGAAACCGAAATCGGATCCATCGAACTTCTCAATTCCAATCTTTGAACTTTCCATCTTCAAAGATCGTGGTGACTTCCGCCTAGCTCTGATACCAGTTGTTAGGATCGCACAACAACACACACACTCGATCTAGATGAACAGAAAGAACAAGATAGACAAAATGCAAGGAGAATATTGGCTAGAGAATACAGAGAATAACATTTTCAAAGCTCTGTCTAATGGATATATATATATATATATAACTTTTTATACATATCTATTTACTATTTATGACAATTTACTTTACATATCATTTATCAAATATAACTTTGCTATGTATAAACGTTGACTCAGCTACAAGCAGCAGTTCCATAACCTAATGGTATCAATAATTTTAATTAAATAAGACATCCAATCTTATTCATTTATAGTGTGTCTTTTATAATATTACTTAAACACGATTCTCTCCTAAGTGAACCATATATTATTTCAGACTAAAAATATTATTCCACGCTTCTTAAAATTTTAAAATCCGAAAGGCAAGGTTGTTGACTAAATAAAAGTTTTAATCGCTCCATTCGGTAGATAACACGGAAGGGCCAAAACCCTGTGGGAGGGCTGACAGTGTCACAGCTCACATGGCCGCAATTTTAAACCCTTAGCCTCCTTTTCCTTCTCCTCCTACTGTTTCTCCATTTCCATCATCCCCGCAGCGCCAAACCCCTTTCTTCAACCGCTTTCCCGCTCTCTGTTTTTCTATCTCATTCTCTTTTCTCTTCAAACCTCTTCAAAACTGTTAATAGGGTTTTTGCTCACTGAAATGCCCACAACAACAAGCGATGCAGAAACTGTTGCGATTAAACCCTTCGTCTTCTTCCTCAGCCCCCATTCTCTGTACTGCTGTTAAACCCTTTTCTTCTCTACCTTCCAAGACCACCCTCTTCAGCCCTAAACCACCGCAGCAGCCTCTTCTTATGTCGGCTGCTACTTCATTTCATAGCGGCGTCACTGGCTCTGCCTTTTCCGCTTCCTCTCTTATCAGAAAACCCTCTTCCGCCGTTGTGTCTTCTCGCTTCGTCGCCGCTAATTCGTCCAGAAATTGCTACTTGTGCCGGTGCGCAATCGAAACCCCTGCCGCATTGCGTGCGTGGGTTGTGTTTAAGGATAATCGAAATGGACTGCGACGGCCGGCGTGGGTGCACACGGATTCTGATGGGTTGTTTTCTTCTTCTGGTGTTGAGGAGCTGAAGAGCTCGAGGGTGGCTGTGGCTGGTGATAATGGTGGAGATGGAGATGAAATGGTGTGTGATAATGGTAGAGAAAGTGGGAAGGTTTTGGAGGAAAAAGGGTCTAAGTCGAATAGGAGGCAGAAGAGTTTGTCTGGTGGAAGCGTGTTGGTTGGTGATCCTGATTTGTTGACCATTCCTGGAGTTGGTCCAAGGAATTTGAAGAAGCTAGTGGAGAAGGGGATTGGAGGAGTGGCTGAGCTCAAGCAGTTGTATAAAGATAAGGTGAATACGTTCGGCCACTTGTGTTTTGAAAATACTATATTATGAGTATTGTTTCTAAGTAGTTTTCTTATTTTTGATATTGGTTTCTGCTAGTTCCATGTAATGCTAGAAGTATAGAAACATTGTGGTTTACTGTGTTTCGTTTTGAAGATGAACAAGGGTAGGTTTAGTATCACTTTTGAAAGAGAAATAGTGTTTTAAAGTGTTGATCAAAAGTCATCTCAAACTCACTCTGTTGGAATCCTTATTTTAAATTCTAATGTGCATATTTTAGAAATTGTCTATGACAAAGTAAATCCAATTCCATCAATGTGCTTGGCTGATTAACATGTACTTAGGGAAAAAGTATTTGTAATAGCTAGGACAACATGATTAAAGCTATCATGAAAAACACTCCCTGCCTTTTTTGCAGTTCTTTGGTGATTCTAGCCCGAAGATGGTTGAGTTCTTACAGAGTTCTGTTGGAATTATCCACAGAAATCATGCTGAAAGTATAACTGCTTATATAAAAGACAGTGTCGATGAAGAGTTGACAGAGGACAGTTCAAACTCAGATGCAAAGCCATCTCAGAAGAAACGGATTACATTCTGTGTCGAGGGAAATATTAGTGTTGGAAAGACGACATTTCTTCAAAGAATAGCTAATGAAACTCTTGAGCTACGTGACCTGGTTGAAGTGGTTCCAGAACCTATTGACAAGTGGCAGGATATAGGACCTGACCACTTCAATATACTAGATGCATTTTATGCCGAGCCTGAAAGATATGCTTATACTTTCCAGAATTATGTGTTTGTCACAAGAGTTATGCAGGAGAGGGAGTCTTCTGGTGGAATCAAGCCACTCAGGTTGATGGAAAGGAGCGTTTTCAGCGACCGAATGGTAAGAAGACATAATCTATAACTTCGTGTTTTAATCTTAAAAAGTCAAACATGTCGTGTGTCAGGGCTCCATGATTTTTCATTTGACTTTCTCTAGAGTCAGTTTTTGTTGTGACATTAATGATCAACATTGATGAACGAAATACCCTGCAGTTTCTTCCTTTTTCCTACTTGACTGATTTATTTGAGAAGAAGAGACCCTTACTATAATTTAAAAGCTGACACTTTTGTTTCGTTGATACTATCAAAGGTGTTTGTGAGAGCTGTTCATGAAGCAAATTGGATGAATGAGATGGAGATCAGCATCTATGACTCGTGGTTTGATCCAGTTGTATCAACCTTGCCCGGGTTAATTCCTGATGGTTTCATCTATCTTAGAGCAAGCCCTGATACATGCCACAAAAGAATGAAGCTACGTAAGAGAACTGAGGAAGGTGGGGTCAGTTTAGAGTACCTCCGTGACCTGCACGAGAAGCACGAAAGCTGGCTGTTCCCTTTCCAAAGTGGTAACCATGGGGTTCTATCTGTCAGTAAGCTTCCATTTCATCTAGACAGTTCTTTACACCCTGATATTAGGGATCGTGTCTTTTTCTTGGAGGGTGACCATATGCATAGAAGCATTCAGAAGGTGATCTGAACCAAAATGCACACCATTTTGCTCTTTCAATACCTATATGCAGCCAAAAGGAGCTTATGATTTTCTTTTTCTACTTTTAACTTTTATTCTTTTTGTGGTGAGCAGGTGCCTGCATTGGTTCTTGATTGTGAACCAAACATTGATTTCAGCAAAGACGTTGATGCTAAGAGACAGTAAGCCGAGTTTTGTGTTGTTTATATTGCATTTATCATTCCGGAGCGAGGGAATGTCAAATATTATCGTCATCTAATGGCAACTGTGATATTTCAACCCCGAAAATTTACTTATAAACAGTTTGTCAGGCACTAATGTTGATACTAATCTGCATATGTTTGTTACATTTGATTCTTATTCGCTGTGTATGTTGGCTCATGAAGGTATGCTCGTCAAGTTGCCGAATTCTTTGCATTTGTAAAGAAGAAGAACGAAGCGTCTTCATCAACTGCTGGACAGGACAGCGGAAATGATTCCCAACCACAAGTAATGCTGCCAAACAAAGGATTATGGGTACCGGGTGGGAATCATTTCCCAGAATCAGCTCTGAAATCATTGGATTTCAGGCGGGCAATGTCGATGATGTCTGGTTAGAGATCAAATCTTCATCCATGTCTTTTTTTTTTCTTTTCCATTTTGATTCCCAGATTCATCTCAACAGCCCCACTTGTTTTTCTGTTGTGTTTCTGGTGAATGTGGACTAATGTGTAAAAATGGTTGCTGCTGCTGTTAGTGCTTAGGAATGTAGTTAGTTTGTACGATGTTAGTGTTGGAGATGGTTTTGTAGGTTGTAAAACTCTCCTCCAGTTTCAAAAAATTGTTGGAGATACGATGAACTGATGAACTATGCTTACTATAATTGTCTTTATGAGAAGTTTCTGACTTTTTCAACCTCTATAGTTTATTGATTCTGAATAATTATCATATCATATCATAATTAGTTTTGTTTAATCACAATTATTGTGTCATTACAACGTCATTAATTGTTTTTAGTGATGGGTTTGGAAAGATCCAAAGGGGTAGGGGTGATGTTGACAGAGATTTTGGAAGCTATTAACAGCCACAATTTTTTGAAAAATCAAATGGCATTGGCTGTATTTAATTTAATGCCTTCCCTATACATATTTGTTGTTGTTGTTGTACTCCTGCAGATTGGACTGGCAAACACATTTTAAGATTTCAATGGTTATGGTCAATGCTCAATAACTATTTGTCTTCAAATTTTCTAATTATTTTATTTCCTTTTTTTAATTTTTTTACCAATTTCATTTTTTTAAATTTCGCATGAAAATATGTTTCCATACATGCGTTCATTCTTATTTGTTCGAGAAAACTTGTACCTAAAGTCGGGGCCTAGCCACCGAAGAAGTGTCAATGGAGGCCCTGGTGGAATAATAGAATAATAGTAGTACTCCAGTTGCTAGGAAGTTGATAGACTCGTTTCCAATGAGGTGCAAGTACTAGTGGCTACCCTAATTTTCTTGAGACTGGCACAAAAAAAACTAGTAGTAGTAGGAGCTAAAATTTAAAACACCGGATCAAGACGTAATAAAATAAAAGTTATGTACCAAAAATTGATTTAGTTGTTAAAACTCGAGTCTAAATTTTGACATGGGAAAATCCCACCTCAAATCAGTTAACAAAACTACACAAACAGATGAAAATTTTGTTGCTGTACATTGTTGATGTCCACGGCAACCGCCAAAATCGATGAGAATTGATTGAAAAAGCTGCATGCTTTAAAAAGTAGACAAGAATCATTTATTGCCCTGAAACGGCTTTGATTTAATTTAACCAAAGTTAACAAACAAACAAACAAACACACTCTACCCCATTATCATCATTTTTTATTCTCCTTCAAGTTTTCAACTGTAAAGTTGCTGTTTTGTTTCAATTTCTTCAATCTCTTCTCAATTATCATCATATTCCCAAATCAATTCTTGATCGAGTAATAAAACGTTGAGGCGATTTGTAAACATGGGTTGTTAATTTCAGCGTTAAAAAGTCTTCCAAATTTTGAAACCCCAGCTCGGCCCAACCCCCTTTTTGTTTTTGTTTCCGCTCATCTTCAACAACTCTCTTCTTTTCACCCGCTCCCGCTAACTAAACTCTCTACAAAATCATGGCGAAACAAAACCCCAGGGAAGGGGTGGACAGAGCGACCCATTTCTCGCCTTAGAATTCGTTTTCTTGAGATTTCTTGAGATTTCTTGTGGGTTTGTCGAAAAAAGATTGTGGGTTTTGTGGGGATTTAGGTACTGAATAATGGGTAATAGCCTAATGTGCAAGTCAAAGAAGGACGTGAAAGAGAATGGATCTAGAAGTAAGAGAATAGGTCGGTCTCAAAGGAAGTTGCAGAGTGAAGAAGAGTATTTGCAGAAGCAAGCTCTTTCGTTGGCTCTTCATCAGCTCCAATTATCTCAGAGGTTCGATGGATCCACTTCGAAGAGAATTGGGTCGACTAGCTCTCGTAGACGCAATCTCTCCGATCCATTCTCTAATGGAAAGCAGGTGGGACGGACTTCATTTTTTGTCAACACTTTTGATTACTTATTTTGTGGGTGATTGAATCATTCAAGAAAAAGTGGGTTATCATGATTATGCTCTGTTAATTTCATAGCCGATTGCCTTTTGGGAATCCTCATATTTTATAATCATTCTTAGTCTACTTTTCAGTTTTAAATAGTTTTTTTCCCCTGCTTTTTATGGATTGACCTTTTCAGGCTATCATTACTATGTTCTTTATATCATTATGGGGAGGATGAATGATCTTTACTGCTTAATATAGATATCAGAAAACAACTTTTAGGCAATTAATCTGCCATGTGATGCAAATTATGAGAAATCTACTAGCCTTGAATGGAAAGTAAAAGGACTATTGAAATGTAATCAGTATAATCCTAATGAGTTTTTCCCCCTCAGAGTCAGAGCAAGAGAGATTCAAAGTTGTGTGGAGCAGCAGATGTGAGTTCAAGTGAAGCAAATCCGCAGGTGAGATTTATAATGTTTACTTTTTCTCATTTTCATTCTTTGATTTGTTGTTCATGAGTGAGTTTTTCATTGATGGATCTATCATATAATTTGACACAGGCAGCAGATTTTCTGGAAAATGTGAAGGAAAAGAAATTTGTTTTAGTTCATGGTGAAGGGTTTGGAGCTTGGTGCTGGTACAAAACCATTTCTCTACTAGAGGAATCTGGATTGTCGCCCGTAGCGATTGATCTCAAAGGTTCCGGTATCGATCTAACCGATACAAATGGGGTGAATACTCTAGCAGAGTATTCAAAGCCATTGACTGATTATCTTCAAGATCTTCCTAATGATGAAAAGGTTTGATAATAAATAGTTCAGGATTTATCTTCAAAAAATTGTTCTGATGGTTCAACTGCTTGTTCTCTAAATTAGACTGCATAACTAAGATGGATAGTACGATACTTGTTAGCGTGTCCGTGGCTGTGTCTTGTATCTGTATCTATACTTGTTAGCATGTCCGTGTCTGTGCTTGTATCTGTATCTATACCTCATAGTTACACAACGATTCTTGTATTTTGAAGGTTGTTCTAGTTGGGCACAGTAGTGGAGGTGCTTGTCTTTCGTATGCATCGGAACATTTCTCGAATAAAATAGCGAAAGCAGTTTACGTGTGTGCAACGATGGTGGCTGATGGACAGAGACCTTTTGATGTATTCATGGAAGAGGTAAGTGATTAGCATTTATAGCTATGGAAAGTTGCTTTTCTGGGCATTATAAGAACACTTCCTCTCAGTTGTTCATGTTGATGATATAAACTTATGATCGTTTTGCAGATTGGATCAAAAGAGATTTTTATGAAAGACTCTAAGAATTTGATGTATGGGAAGGGAAAAGACAAACCTCCTACAGGATTCATGTTTGAGAAAGAACAAATGAAGGGGTTATACTTTAATCAATCTCCTACAAAGGTAGTTTAGTTTAGATCATTACTTAGTGTGTGGTGTCTATGATTCATTCTTAATGTGTGGTATCACGGCAGGATGTTGCTTTGGCTATGGTTTCCATGAGACCTTTCCCACTGGGTCCAGTCATGGAGAAGCTCTCACTGTCGCCCCAAAACTATGGAAGCGGGCGTCGATTCTTCGTTCAAACGCTCGATGATCGTGCACTCTCACCTGATGTTCAAGAAAAGCTGGTGAGGGAAAACCCACCAGAAAGAGTTTTCAAGATCAAAGGCAGTGATCATTGTCCATTTTTCTCTAAGCCACAGTCACTGCACAAGATCCTCCTGGAAATCGCTCAAATACCATAAAAACTAGCCTCTCTCTTACTCAAATCTGTCTAACAGAAAGAACAAAAAGATTTTTTTTCTCTTTTTCCTTTTGAAGTTACTTATTTATAGCAGAACCAAGCAAATTGTGGATGGGAATCAGTCATGTTCTGGTGTTAGAAGTTCTAGTGATATATAAAGAACCATAATTTTTCTTGTAAAGATACGAGGTGTTGATTAGAGTTTCATTCATGTCGATTTCGAAGCAATAAGAAGGCATCTGGTTGATGAATTTGGTAGCATAATCTGCAAATATAATTGAATGAGTTGAATATGAGCAGAAAGAATAAATAAAAGTGTTATATATTAGTCGACAGAAACACATATCATAATCATCCATCACAATGCCTCATCTACGACATGAAAGAGTATAAGTTCGATGTTTCTGATTCACTGCCCCACGCATGGAATCGAAGAACAAATGTGTACCAAACCAAACACCCCTTGTGAGATTATGGTAAGTACAGTACTACTAGGTACTTTCTACATTCAGCTTCTTCTAAGGGAAAGAAAACTTGGCATATGACCAAAACATGAAGCAACGGGGAAGTTGGAAGGAACCTCCCTCTTGGCTTTGATATCCTGTCACTCAAACCACGTATGTGTATATACCGACACCGACACGTTCGTCCAGGTGAAGCAATCACACTTGGTATGTTGGGCAAAAAATCAGATCATACCAAACCAAAATCCACAACCATATTTGGTCTTCAACCAACCAATGAAACTTTGATTTCGTAAAACCAAAAATTCTAAGAACGCATGCATATTCGATCTTCAACCAGAGAACTTTGTGTTTGTTTTGTTACCACCTGTATACGACAAAACAATTGCAAATCTTGCAATCCAGTTCACGAAACCTATTACTGTTACCAACTGCTTCCAGGGCACATCTCCATTTTACATGGTGAATGCCTTCTGAGGATGTGCATTTTTTAATCCTCAGAAATGGAGACAATCCCCCTGGAAGTTTGAGGAACCATAGTCCTGTCTGGATGCCATTATCTGTTCGACAGATTACACACATCGTCATCGTCCAATGGAGAACCATGTCATAATCTTCGTTTTAATCTTAAAGGAGATCAAATGTTTTGCTAATAATTAAAAGGACTCACATGTTTTAAATATGTTAAGAACCTGAAGATGACTTCTGAACCCATACTTGTTTCTGCATATATGCATCAAAGCAAATGAGTTTCTGAAAAAGAAGCGACTGTGTAGCATGAGAGTTAGTCGTTTAGCTTAGATGCAGAAGCAAACCTCATGGCCACCGGCAACACCTCTTCTGGATGGTTTTCCTTCATTTGGGTTCAAAGATCCATCATCCTTCATAATATGGACAGCCCCACGACGCCCAACATGTCTAACCGAACCTAGAGAAGCACAGAAGGTGAGTACCTTTGGATATCTCCTAAAATAAATGATGGACAATGTTAAGAAGGTTTGTGAGAAAGTATAACCATTCTCCACTGAACTGCTACGTCCACTCACAGTGGTTGTAACATCCCCAGTCCTGCTTCCATGAACATCATCTTTCATTTCCCCACGGTATGCTGTAAAGGCATTAAAGATAATTAGAGTTATAATTTCATATCTGGAACACAATGTAATACTTCGACCATTGTCCAGTATAATACACAAGAAAGTAGTCTGTCATCCCCAATGGGTTATAATAGTAGTAGTACCTTCAACCGAGTCAGAAAGCAAATGAGTAGATTGTGAAACAGAGGATTCATCAAGTTGTGAGACTGAGGCATCTGAACGACCACGTGGTGCCCAAACCCCACGATCAGGTCTATCTTTGTTTCTAATTCGTTTTTCTTGCTTCTCACTAGCATTACCCAGGCCATGATGTTCCTTTTTGTTAAACTTATTTTCCATAGCCCTTTTTCCATCCCCTTCTGAACCAGATGGATTTGGATCATTACTGGACATATCATTAGACCCAGATCGAGAATTAATGGGACGAGGTGGTCGCTTCCCATTGTCTGAGTTCAGGATCTGAATTTTTTGGTGAGACTGGGCTACTGATGAACTCTGTCCATGACGTGCATCATTATTTAAAAGAATGCTTCTGATCATGCTTCCACCAGCCTCACGCCTCTGATTCTGTTTTGTAGCATTAGCAGGAGAATTCCCAGAAGATGTCGCGCTCTGAAACTGTAACATGCCATCAGCAATCTGTAAAGGTATCATTATGCATGAACTAGATAAGGTAAGTGTCAAAATATGAGGCAAAAGAACAGAATTGGTACCCACCAAGTTAGCCTAGAGTGAGAATCGAGATCATTCACAGAAGTTAATATCTAAAGAAAAAGAGAGTAACAAAAGATGTAATAACTTAATTAGTAAAGAGAACTTAAGAAACATACATGAGATACGTCTCGCCCTTTCCCTTTGAGAAGCAGAATTTTTTTCTTTCCAGAGTCGGCTGTTACATAGACATATGAAACAGAGCCTTCAAATCTAGACGACGAATTCGTTATACATATGTAGAACATATTGATATGCAGGAGAATGCATTATCTAATGGAGGACATTGTTTTCTCCCTCTTTTCCTGATGGACATAATATAATACAACAATGGATATGTGCTCCATAGCTAATAATGTATATGTTAACATGCAAGTTTGTGATCTGCACATCACAATATGACAAAATCCAAGAAATAAACAAGATAATTACTAATCAAGGGGGGAAAAAAAGACATTTTCAAGAACATTACTACTGGGCTCAGGGTAATTAGTAATGCGAAAAACGTAAAATAGTTATGAGAGCTCGCCCCATCGTAGGCAGTGGAATAACGAGTGTTCAGATCTTAAACCATATAGGCTAATGTTCCCCTGCTCCTAATGACTTGAAGCATAGAATCGCTGAGATAATATAAATCAAACTCATTTTCAACAGTCTAACAATCAATGGACCAGTAACTGAGAAGGATAAGAAGAATGGCAACTTAAATAATGTTGCTGATCACAAAGAAATCTAACCTGTACCAACGTCAGAAATTCCAATTCCACTTGAAGTGGCTGACTGATCCTCTCGCCTCGGCACCAAAATGAAATTTGACTTGTCTCTGCGGTTCGTGTTCTTCCCACTGTCCTTCAAAATATACTGCATGAATAAAAGAAAATATAACTAAAATCTTCAGACCAAAAAGATAAGACTATAAAATTATTCACAAGAAAGGATCACCACAGTAAAAGCATGAAATTTAAGGGGGCTAACCTAAAGGCTAAATTTTAGCGCTCACTGTTCATAACCTCGAGGTGGTGTGGCATGAGACAGTTTCAATCCCAGTTAGACAAAACTTAAATCATATAAATACTAACCCACCAATAACGTTAGAAACTTTAGGTTGAGTTCGGTAGAGTCGAAACTTTAGGCTCTGTATTAATTATTTTCTGCTTCACCTCATTGTAGAAGGTAAGAATTTCCTAGAAGATCAAGTTTTGAGAGTGGCAGAACTTGCATTAGGGAGTTAACACCATAGACTAAATACAGAGGCCATGTTCCTTTGTGTTGAGGCCATACCACCAATGCATTTTTAGGGCATGTTTGGAAGTAATTCTAAAATGGTTAAAATCACGAGTGTTCGAGGATCTAGATCATATCCTTTTGATACCTTGATTTACAACTTTTTTTGAGGCCTTAGGAGTTTTCTTGGTTTGTCATAAAGATTGTGGTTAGATCGAGGTCATAAAATATTTCACTAGTTTCTTGCCGCTTAATGGAATATGGCTAGAGAGTAACAAGAGAATCTTAAAAGGTTTCGAGAGTTCTTGGGACTCGTTGGATCCTTCACTAGGTCTAATGCCTCTCTTTAAGGATTTTTTATAATCATCCTTTAGGTCTTATTCTTCATTCGTTTCTGAGATCTACGACAAGACAAGACAGCATACTTCCCCTAAGAAATTAACATTTACGAACTCTAAAAACCTTAGGAAAAACAAAACATTGGAAAAGTAGGACATGCCTTCTTCTTCTCCATCCCTCGCTTCATGGAATTCGACTCATGTTTTCTAGAGGATGCTGCAACACCTCTTTTAACCTTCCGAGGCACTGAAGAACCCTATTGAATGAAAAAACTTACATGAGATAGTGAGAAATTGATGTATTATGAATAAAAATCTTCAAGACCACATAGACAACCATCCTAAGAGCATCGGAATTAATAGCATGCATGTCGTTAACTCATAAGGAAAAGAAGCTGAAATCGTTACACAAGCAGCAGACAAATTCAAACGAAGGAATGTCAACTTAATGGTAAGTGAATGTATAAATATTAATATAGGTGGTCAGACAGAACCAATACCTTGTGACCTTCATTTTTGTAAACAAGTAGTTTCATTTTCTCTGAAATTTTAAGATATAGCACACAGGTCGATGTGTTAAGAATATCACCTGAGTTCCACTTTCAACTGCTCGTTTCTGGCGAACAAACTCCATGAGAGGGGTAACAATTGGAGTATCTTTTGCAACACCTGCAAAACAAAAGTAGCCATATAAAACTTCTAGACTATCCGAACTTGAACCGAGTAGTATCTCTGCAGCCGTTCATAGCGAAGTTACAGAATGACTACTCAGCGACTTTTTGGCACCCTATTTTACATTATATAACTTATTTGGCTTCGTTCCACATAAGATTAACAAATGCAATAAACGTCAACAAGTCGTCCATGAACATAATAACAAACCAGATTGCTCTGCTTCTTTTCTTTCCAACTGTATTTCTGCACTTGGAAGATGCTCAGCAGGCTTGGCAATGAGTTTTAAAAACTCCAAATAATCTGGATCTGCTTTCATCAAGAACAGATAGTTCACATAACACAATATGCAATATAAAACAAGAACAACTACTTATTCCATCTTCTCACTAACTGATGCTTACCTTTGTATATAGTCCCCTCACGACCATCCTTCTTAGAAGATGACCTCGGAACACGCTGTGAAGGTGCGTATTCAACTACAGCCTTATACTGAGCACCTGTAACCATTTAACTGAAACAAGTTAAACTGGTATGCAGTCAATTAAAAACTAAGCTTCAAAAGGGGTAATCTCTACATATATCATCAATCAACATTAAGCAATAGTCTGATTCATAAAATTGTTATCTCCCACTTATCAGAAAAGAATTGAGCTTCAAAAAAAGGTGTCATCT